GATTCTGTCCACACAGCCCTCATTTCTGGTCCATTTGTGGTTGTAGTTTCTATCTCATTGAGTTTGGAAATTTTAAAACCTAGAAAATAACCTCCAAGACAGAATGAGCAACAGCAACATAAAACGTAAACTTGATTTGACAGCTCTTACAAGGCATCTACCATGTGCCCAGCGTGGTAGAGCCATGAGAGGAGATACTGAGGTGAGAGGGTCAGGCCCTGTCTGAAGGCAGCTCACGGGCCAGCTGTAGGGGGACGGAATGTGCATGTCTCCAGGCCTTCGCCAGAGGGATTCGGTCACACACATCTATGTCACACTTCATGTCGCTCATGCCCCCTCATTCAGCATATCACCTTTTGTTCTCATGACATCCTGCAGGAGGTAAAACAGGGATGGTCACTTTCCTTGTCAGAAGAGGATATTAAAACCCAGCAAGGCCAAGTGACTGACTCAGGCCCCGCAGAAGATACAGTGACAGATCTAGAAGAACACAGGTCCCCCCGACACTGGGCTGCTGCTTCTCTGCTGATCCACAGATGCGGCAGGTGGGGGGAACCCAGGCTGTCCTTGAGGCTTTACTTTCAACAAGAAAGGCAGCAGATGAGTGAGTGAAGAAGCACAATGAAATGAGGAGAGACTAGGGTAAACTGTATAACAGATGAAAAATTTTAGAACCAGAGAAAACCTGAAACACTCTAGCCTCCCAAATGCTTCTTATAGAAAAGACAAGAAGCTTCCAGGAAAAGAACAGGCATTCGAGAACCACTTAGGTGTTGGTGTGTGTGTGGGTTGAGGGGTGGGGGTGGGTTGAAGCTGACATCCTGGGGGAATTTTATTTCTCTGGAGAAACCAACACCCATACTTTGCAACTCTTTATTTGTCCTGAATTAAGTTCAGGGAAGTATCTGTCAGAATTAGTCACCTTTGATGAGGAATGAAGAACAAATATATGATATTTCCTGCTTTATAACAGGCTCCATTCTCTAGATTATCTGGGGACAAATCTACCTCTTGTTGCTTCACAGTGGCTTTTCTGTTTTCTATAAATTGGTGCCCCTGGGTAGCCCACCATGAAAGGAAAAACGCAATTGTGTGTGTACAATGTTTGGCTGCAGTTTTGAAATGAGTACAACTTCCTGCTCATTTTTTTTAAGCCACTAATTCAAAATAATCAAGTTGCCACAATGCTACATTTCTCCTTGAGTGAATTCAATGTGAATCAGGTGGTGACAAAGCTCTTATCCAAGCCCTTCTTTGTATGAGGTGAAAAGCCAAGACAACAAGGATGAGGGTAATTAGCAGAGTCAGACAACAACCCAAGATTTCAGACCAGCAGCCTCGTCCCACAGCCGGACATGGCCTTAAAGAGAATAAAGACCTTTAGGTAAACTTGGATAAACTCGCCACGCTGAGTTGCTGGTCTTTCTTTAAGTGTGACAGTGGTGAGCTTGCTTAGGGGCCACTGAGTCAATGGCCACACTCACATCTCCTCTGAAGCCGGCGGGTTCAGGCTGTTCCACAGTCAGCAGGCACATGCACGGCCACGTCCATGAGCTGAATCCAGTTCTGTCTGTTTGAACTGTTGGCCAACCCATTACAAGAGCCTGCCTTGCCTTGCTCACACTGCCCTATGGAGCCCAAAGGCTACCACGCAGCCAAAAGCAAGTCAGTAAAGGGAGAAACTTGGACACTAAAGCCAGCAGAAAGTGTTCTAAAGCATTTGCCATTAAGCAGAAATGTTACAGAATCCTGCATACCATGTGTTTACACCAAGAGGGTGATGGAGGACGCACTTGAAAGAGGAAGGCAACAGGAGGTGTGTGGGACGAGGTCATACCAGGGCAACTGGAAACCAGCCGCTAATCCCTAAAATCCCCTGCACATGCAGGAAAGGTAAGAAAGGACAAATGAGTGAGTGGTCAGAATGCCCTGGCCCATCAGGGTAAGCTGTAGACAATAATCATGTTAGGAGAGAAGACTGGATGCCCTAGCCATTTGTACCATCCGCATTTGCCCTGAGGTAGAGAGGGTCTGCGGGGCTGGGGTTCCTCATGTGGCTCCCCTAACTGAAGTTGTTTACAAAGTGCTTTCCCATGTGTGAGCACATCTGAAGTAACAGGCTGCCAAGTATTGGAACTATCCAAACAAAAGCTAACACCTAGAATGCTTTTTGGATTAGAATGAAAAGCCAAGAGGACACAGTCTGAATACAGAAACCCTTGTTTCCATATCAATCCGCTCTCTAGTCCAGTGACTTGGTACTATTCAACCTCATAGTGCCTGTATGCACATATGTATGCATCTTTGTACAATGCAGCTGTCAAATCAGATGATAGCACCTTACTGTAATCTCTGTTTTACGTGGGGAATTCAGTACACTAACCTCTTCCCAACTATGAATTCTCTTTATCAAAAGTAAAAATAAACCCAGCATATTGTAATTTGCTTTGCAGTTTTTTTTCCAGCTACTCAGAGTCATATGTGAATTGTCAGTATCCTAGTTTGAGATCCTTACAAAAAGAGGGCGCCAGGGCTTGCAAAAAGGGAAGCAAGGCTAGAGTTTTTGAGGGAAGATTTGGAGAGAAGAGGGAGCTGATGTGGGTGAACCTGGCCTTTGACTTGCAGTGTCACTATGTGAGCCTTGGCATAAGCTGGCACAGGCCAAGCTGAGGGCACGGCAGCGGGCTGAGCAGCACGGGCTTGCCTTCTACTGAAGCTACTGTGCAGCTCTCAAGCCACTGTTGGGCTCCAGGAATCACAAGCCAAGACCGTGAGTCAAAAACCAGAGAGGACCAGGGTGGATGGCCAGATGCAGGAGAAACCTCAGTCTCACATTGTATCTGCAATGTGGCAAACGGGATTTAGGAGCAGCTCACTGAGATTATGGACAAGAGGCACTACGCATGACCAATGAGACAAGAACATTTCTTGGAATTTGAGTCTGATAAGATCCATTTTATTTATTGAGGATGTATAAGATGAAATTTTTATCTTTCTTTAATGCGCTGTCCTTGCTTTTAATCCATATTTAAGAATTGTCATGGGCTAACTGGTGGTGAGGTCCAAATTCCACTTTTTCCAATTAGTGAATCCTCCTGCCATAGCTTGGCCCTCATGTGACCCTATCTGATGGACTGTTATGACCAAGGGCCACTCAGTAGGCTCATGGTGGCCTCTCAAATATAACGAAGTGGGACCTGGGAACTCCTTGCCCTTTTCTCTCCTCGTTAGCTAGCTCACATCTTACAGGTCTCATACGTGCTGATCTGAGCCATGCAGGCCCTCCTCTCTCTCCAAAAGTCTCCTTGAGGTGCTGACAGGCCACGTGCCCAGGAGGACAGCCCATTAGTTGAGGGTAAGAAAAGCACAATGCAGGCCTCAAACCAGCAAGGCCAAGGGGGCCCTTCTTTATTTTGTGAAATGATGAAACAGATAGAAATTCTACTTACACTGAAAACACACCAATAGCTAAGAGGCAGGTGTCCTGCCAACATGATGCAGTTTACAGGAAACTAGGAACCAAGCCATCAGAGGGCGTAACACAAAATACTTCCTGATGAGGCCAAGGAAGCAGTCTCCAACCAGATACCAGAGTGTCTGGTACCACAGTGCTGCTTACCTCAGGGGGCACCCACTGTTTACCCTGGGGAGTACCTGCTGCCTACCTCAGGGGGCACCACTGCAGCTGGCACAACTCCTCTTACAGAGAAGGCTCTGTAAGCGGGCTCTGGGATCACATGGTGAGTTGGCATTGCTGTGGCTCCAGTGCCCATGGGTGGGTGCTTTTGCCTCAGAAGAGGAGGGAAGAGGGGAGCCCTGTTTTGCTTCCTGCATTAGACCATTTGTAGATCCGAAATAGTGGATGTTGGCAATAATGTGTATTTGTTCTGATCTGTGTGTCCCTCCTACTATTTTTCCCCGACTTGTGTTCCAATTTCAAGGTTTCAAACTCTACTTCTAAAGAATCCAGACATTATACATGCAACAACTTAAAAAGCTGGTTAAACAGAAATCCTTGTGTGATATAATGAGTTACAAGAAATACATATTTGCTCATTCCGATGGCCAAATATGTATTTCCCAGGTATATCTGGTATTTATTCACAGTTCCAGAAAACACTGCAGAGTCTTAAAGGTGAAACAGGTGTTTAGTCATGTTAATGAGAAACTTTTGGACCCACATCCAAGGACGGGGGCTGGAGGCTGAATCAGCCAGTGACCAATAATTAAGTCAGTCATGACTATGCAATGAACCCCTCACAAAACCCACGAGAAGAGGCCCCTCTCCTTCCCCCACTTCTTCTCTCCCACCCCCTCACCCCTCCCTCTCTCCCTCTCCTCTACTTTGCTCTGCTCAGTTGGATCCTGCTTCTCAGTTGGGGAGAGCTTCTGTCCTTGGGGAACCAGAGGCCTCCATGTGCCACTGAGCCAGGCTCCAAACTCCACAAGGATAGAAGCTCCTTTATTTGGGACCTTATGCTGTGTCTCTCTTCACCTGGCTGTTAACTTGTATCCTTCATGGTATCCTTTATTAAACTGGTACACGTGTTTTCCTGAGTTCTGTGAGCCACTCTAGCAATTTAATAGAACCTAAGGGGGAGGTCGTGGGAACCTCCAGTCTGTAGTTTGCAGGTCAGAAGCACAGGTGCTGCCTGGGGCTTCCTGCCGGGTGTCTGGAGAAGGGCGTGGAGGGTAGTCTTTTAGGATGGAGCTCTCAACCTGGGGAATCTGGTGCTGTCTCTGGGCAGACAGCATCAGAATTGACTTGAGTTCTCTAGCACCCTGCTGATGTTCAAGAATTGCTTAACTAAGTATATGTGGGAAGACCCCCTCCCACATATTTACACATACCAGAACTGGGTCCAAGAACCTGAATGAAGTTATACTTACTATTACTGCTGTGTATAATATTGTTACTGTTATACAGATATGTAAAAAAATACACCAATGCATTTGGTGTCAGAGATATTACACCTTGAAATATAAGGCCGCCAAGTTACCTGTGCGTGCTTAGAGACCCAGTGGCGGAGGACGTTCAGCACTCGGTTGGTGGCTGTTCTGCGTATAATAAACTCTTTGTCACAGGTTCTCTCAGTGTTGTTAAATCCTTAGGAGGAAAAGAAACACACGCATAGTGTAGTTAGAGCCAATCCCCAGGGACCTCACTTATTTTAGGACATTGGTTAATGAAATGCACAAATAACCCATCTTGGCAGAGAGGTGCAAGAGGTTTCAGACTGTTGTGAATTCTGCCTACTTACCTATGACACCCTCAGCAGTGACGCCACCATGTACTTACAGGTGCAATTAAATGGACAACATGCACATATTTATTAAAGGCTACAAAAGCTAAAGCTGGTCTAATAATACTTCCATTTATGCCTGTTCTTGTTCTATAATGTAAAGCCCAAGAAGAAATTTCAACAAAGTATTTGAATAAGCATTTGTTTATACTTTCTGCCCCAAAGTCATTATATTACCAATAACCTTTTTAGTATTTGTAGATGGATGAGCACATGTCTTGGCTTCTCAGACAGGAAACCTCCTGTTTCTCTGTCTCTTGGTGTTTCCCAGTCAAGAAATATTGTTTAACTTTTTGGTAGCACTGTCAGATTTATCCCTTTTTCTCCATTCTCCTGCCGAAATCCTAAGTCAAGGTACTTGACACATGGGTTGTAGGTGTTGTCCCCTGACAGTCCTTCTTTTTCCATTCTCTTTGTTCTTCCATTCTTCCTCCATCCACAACTCAATTCAATCCATATCTATGGAGCACCGCCTATGTTCCAGGTCCCTACTGTGTAGGTGCTGGGTTAACAAAAGAGATGTAGACCCTACTCTCATAGAATTTGCTCTTTAAATGGCCCCCAAACACACAAAACACCAAAAATGTATGATTCAAAATGCTGCAAATGAGCAAATTGCCAGTCTCTTCAAGAATAATCTTAAATATCCTTTTATCTTGCTACTGCTCCAGCACAAGTACTTCTAATGTCTCCCTAGTGCTCACTGAACCAAGTCTAGAATATTTTCGCAGACATGAAAAGGATCAATTACTTGCTCAAGGTCACAATTTAATAAACTGGAAATAAAAAGGTAAATGCAGGCAAGCAGATTTGCACATACACTATGCTGCATGTCGTGATGGCAGTGTCCACTGAGTATGAACTGACATACTCATGACTGAGAGGTGATGTAGAAGAACGGCTACCATTCCAGGAACTGAACTTTAGTCTGTAGAGGGTAGGTCACTTGGTGTATTAACAAGTACTGGTATATTCAATTGCTTCCATTTTAATGGAATATCAGTTAGCAATATCTTGTTTGCAAAAAAGAGAGAGAACACCCAATGTAAAGTGACTTAAATTAAAAAGGAAATGACTATTTCATATATTTGGAGATGTTCTAGATTCTGATTCCACTTGACTCAGATGCACATGCTGTCCTCGTGGCTCTGTCTCTTTCCCTTCAGTGTCTTCATTCCCTTCTCACTGCCAGGCAGCAAAAATGGGTAAGTCTACAACCTCACATCACACAATCCAGAGGATGAGAGAGCATTCTTTCTGGTAGCTTCCACTGACGAGAGAGAAATTTCTATCCTAGAAGCCTCTAAACAAATCCTTCTACTTAATTGGCCCAAAATGCATCAGACACCTTCCTTGAACTCATTACTGTGGCCATGGCTAGGGGGCAGGGATGGTGGGGAGGTGCATGTGTGTGTGCCTGTGTGTTGTATTGTCAGGGAGGTAAGCTCCTGCTCAGAGTACATGGCCAGGAATGTGAAGAGGCAGTTTCTCAAGTACTCTTGGCAAGATACTAATGAGGCAATGAACAAATGCTGCATAGTGGAGTTTTTTTTTTTAAACCATTTTATCAGTGTGTCCTTATCCTTCAGTTTTTAAGTTCTCCTTACTCAGGTTGACATGAGATTTTCTCTCAGGGCAATTAACTGTAACAATAAAAAAATCCTTCTAGACTGAGGGAAAGAAGCTCAGCAGGTCTATCATTTTGCAA